TTCTAATTTGATCTGGGTATAATTCAGTTTCAAATTAGACTGAGATGAGAGTGTTTCAGAGCACATGCAGAGTACAGTAATGACTGACTCACCACAGGGTGTGAGTTAAGCCTTATAACTGTGCATGTACTCAGAATCATTGCATGGTGATTTTGAACTGCTCACTTTTATCCTTTTTCAGCAAAGGCTGGTGACTTTAATAACAGAAAATGAATTAGTGGTAGGGTAATAAAGCTGGATTTGAAACTGCTAAATTTATATGAATACTCATATTTGCATCCATCTTAAAACTGGGTGATTTTCTGACTATAAATGTTTTAAATACTCTCGTATAATTTTTAAAAAACTCCACAGTTTTCCCTATGACATTATTCTCCCAAATATTACTTAGCTTTCCTGGCTCCAGGGAAAATAATGCACAGCATATCATTATTTCCATTTCTTCATGGGGAATTAAACAGCATTGTGAGCTAGGGACAGAAGGAATATCTATTGCAATGTGGTGTTTTCTATTTGCAAATGCAATACACTAAATATAAGCACTGAGATTTATTAATAGCCTGCCTTCTCATAGTAGCTGTGTAATCAATCATGTGTACCTTTCTTATCATTGTGGCATCTAAGTGCATTTGGACTTCAAATGCATAAGAAAATAAAAATGTTTTTTTAAAAATCTGTTTTGCATCTTATTAGTTTTGCATAGAGCACAACTAACCTAGACAAATTTATAGCTGCAGTTGTAAAACTATGATGGGGTACAATTTCCCAGGTAGCATTCAGTTTTGTTTTCCAAAATTAACTAAGCCCACTTAGGGTCTAATCTAATGCCATATGCACAATAGTATAGAGCCAATATTTCTGGTGATCATTTACCATGGCATTCAAAAGAGAAAGTAAAACAGAGCACAACTAACCTAGACAAATTTATAGCTGCAGTTGTAAAACTATGATGGGGTACAATTAAGCTCACTTAGGGTCTAATCTAATGCCATATGCACAATAGTATAGAGCCAATATTTGTGGTAACCATTTACCATTTAGCATTCAAAAGAGAAAGTAAAATATAAAAAAGATATTATTCTGCTCTGTTACAACTGTAGAAGAAAAAGTTGATTATTTCAAGTGACAGTTAGAACAATTAACCAATGGGACAACCTGCCTCCAGAAGTTAAGGATGCTCCAACACTGGAGGTTTTTAAGAAGAGACTGGAAAACAATTTGTCTGAAACGGTATAGGGTTTCCTGCCTGAGCAGGGGGTTGGACTAGATCTTCAAGGTCTCTTCCAATCTGTTAAATACAGTGAAATGTTCTTCTATCTGAAAATCAAGAGTTTTAGGGACAGGTTGCTGTTCACAACTGCTGAGCACTGAGGATTAACTGGGAATATCCAAGGTAAACAAAGCAGGCAGATGGCATGGATTACAGTAAAGTTGCTTAAATAGGAATCACAGCATGGCTGTGTCAGCGTGGCGAAAACTTTCCTCTATGCCAGGCAGCTAGCCAGCTCAGCTCTCTCCAGTCATATTGCGTTCTGTTTTTCTTCACCTGCAGACCTGTAGCAATTAGCTATTTCAAAATTCCATGCAGGAAATGTGTTTATCCTGGACAGCGATGAAGATCAAACAAGGAATGTCATTTATGGGTCATGAATGAAGGCAAAAATAAATGTCCCAGGATAATGCTATGGGATCCAACCTGGGTTGGTCACTGTGACCAGAGGTTTAGTCTTCTAAGTTTTCAGACTTGTACTGGGGAATTTCTCCGTCACCATTCTGAATGGATTTCGAAGACTAAACCTCTGGTCCCGGTGACGGACCCAGATTGGATCCTGCAGTTATGAGTAAGCCATGCGATGCCATACCTGTCAAGGAAATGCATGGGTTTAAAAGGAGCATAACTCCTGGTAAAAGAGGAGGCATTTGATGCATGGAAGGAAGAGATAAGTATTCTCACACTACACCTCCAGTGTCAAGGCTGGGTTCTTAATTGCAGCCTTCGTGAATGCAAAACATTCTCCGGAATGGCCATCAGAGTCGGCTGTACCATTAGACACAATTGGCACTTGTTCGGATGTTAGATTTGGAGAGGTATATCACAAGGGACGGTAGGATTCCACATCCTGAAACTAGTCTGTTGCCTTCAAGTGTGATTTGGGAGGGGGGATAGAATAGAATAGAATAGAATAGAATAGAATAGAATAGAATAGAATAGAATAGAATAGAATAGAATAGAATAGAATCATGGAATGGAATAGAATAGAATAGAATAGAATAGAATAGAATAGAATAGAATAGAATAGAATCATGGAATGGAATAGAATAGAATAGAATAGAATAGAATAGAATAGAATAGAATAGAATCATGTAATAGAATAGAATAGAATAGAATAGAATAGAATAGAATAGAATAGAATAGAATAGAATAGAATAGAATAGAATCATGGAATGGAATAGAATAGAATAGAATAGAATAGAATAGAATAGAATAGAATAGAATAGA